GGCTGAGGCAGGAGACTCGCTTGAGCCCAGGAGTTGGAGGTTGCTGTGAGCGTGATGCCATGGCACTCTACCCAGGGGGACAGCTTGAGACTCCGTCTAAAAAAAAAAAACAAAGAAAACCTAAGAACATTTATGAAAAATAATAAATAATCCCAAAGAAGTTTTTCTTTGCTCTGATTTTTTAAGTATGATATTACTCACACTTTAATAGTTTTTATATAAACCAAGTTTTGTTTGATACTTTATCTGACCAAAAGTGTAAAACAAAAAAGATTACAGTTAATTTTATATAATCTATTAGAGTAGGTTCATTTCTGATATACAGAAATAATCACTTCTGTATAAAAAAATCTTTGGCAGACATTGGTATTTAGAACAAAAGCACAGTCTCATTTGTTTTAAACAGATAATGCTGATTTCATCTTTTATCGAGTGTTCACTACTTAGAATTCTTTGGGTTATGTGTTTTAAAATACATTGCCTTGTTAAATACACACAACTAATCATGGATTAAATATCATTAGTCATACTTTACATGTGAAGAATCACTAAGAGAAAGTCATAGCCAGCATGTTCGAATTTATCAAGAATGGGTGGCACCTGTGGCTCAGTGGGTAGGGCACCAGTCCCATATACTGAGGGTGGCAGGTTCCGGTCCCATATACTGAGGGTGGCAGGTTCAAACCCAGCCCCAGCCAAACTGCAACAAAAAAATAGTCAGGTGTTGTGGCGGGCACTTGTAGTCCCAGCTACTTGGGAGGCTGAGGCAAGAGAATCACCTAAGCCCAGAAGTTGAAGGTTGCTATGAGCAGTGTGACGCCATGACACTCTATTGAGGCCCATAAAGTGAGACTCTGTCTCTCAAAAAAAAAAAATTTATCAGGGACATTTTCTTGGAAGTTTTCTGTCCTGTTTATTTAAAGAAGTAGATCTTTAGGAAGATATAAGTTGAATGTGGACATGCAAAAACAAGAAGGAAAACTATTTCAGCCAGTGGTAGACAGCATGCAAAAACTATAGAGGACATCAGTCAATTTTGCTGGTTCATTGTCCATTCCCTTTTTTATCCATTAACAATATCCCAGTTTTCCTAGAGATCACCCCTTTAAGTTATATGAATTCCACCCTGACAGAGGGTATGCCCCATGACTCAGGCCTAGCTAATGGCCTGAGCATAGTCCATTGCTCTGGCCATAGTGATTGTCCAGAGATGGGGACATCTTCCAATCAACACATAGGAGTGTTAACTCTGAATTTTTTATTGAACCATTGAGAAGAAGGCATGCTTTGAGCCCTGAAGTTGCTGAGAAAATAGAATGAGAGCCTGGAGGTTACCAGAAGAGACAAGGTAGAGTAAGATCATGTTCTAATGACAGTGGACCTTTGGATCAATACCCATACTTAAAGTTAGCACTGTCTCTGAACTTTCAAATTATCTGAGCTAATAAATTTCCTTTTTGCTTAAGTTGAGTAGGTTTTTTTTTATAGAACAGGGTCTTAGTCTGATACCCATATTAGAGTGTAGCGGCTGGATCATAGCTCATTGTAACCTTGAATTCCTGGGCTCAAGAAATCCTGCCTCACCTTCTCTGGTAACTAGGACTATAGGTGTGCAGCATATATGCCCAGATGGGTCTTGAACTCCTGGCTTTAAGTGATCTTCCTGCCTTGGCATAAGCCACTGCGCCCAACTGAATAGAATTTTTGATACAAACCAAAGGTCCTGACTAATACAGTAAAGACTGTTCTTGATAGGTGGCGCCTGTAGCAGCTAAGGTGCCAGCCATATACATCAGAGCTGGTGCGTTCGAATCCCACCTGGGCCTGCCAAACAATGACAACTACAACCAACAAATAGCCAGGCGTTGTGGCAGACACTTGTAGACCCAGCTACTTGGGAGTCTGAGCAAGAGAATTGCTTAAGCCCAGG